GTATATTCTACGATAAATATTATTAAATGTATGAAAATTGTGTTATATTTCAATTCAAAAACGGACAGAACTTTCCGGTAGACCTAATATGTATTTATGACAAAAATAAGGGTTTGTTGTTTTAAAGAGAAGAAAGGGTAAAAGAAATGAAGAGTATTTACCTAAGAATATTTCAATCTGCTATAATTATTAAACAAAAAGAGAAGATCTTTAGTGACTACAGACTCTTGCAACAAGTACAGACGATTTTTATTTCGCTTAAAAATCCACGATCTAGTAATTAATATTGAATTACGTTCCCGCCCCGATTCGATCGCGTTGCTCCCGCGCAGCTGTTTATAGTTCCTGTCAATTCTCGTTGAACCGAGTACAGATAGATCGTCGTACATGTTTTGAGAAAGTTACAAGAACTTGAATGCAGCCTATTCCAGTCTGCTGGCAATAAGTGGAGATAGGATCACATATATTGCAAGTATATACAGTCCCAAAAATGTCTCGCAATCCGGAAATGGAGGTTTGCTAAGATCATTTGAAGTAACTTTCTCCTTAGCGAAAATGCAATCCGCGGCTTTGTTTACGAGTTATTAATGAAAAACAGTGACCAATGGGAGACAAGACCAACTGACGCGAGACGGCCGAGCCAATGAGCGGGACTGGGCTACGTGCGTTCGTTGGCTGGGCCAATCTCGCGCCAGCTGATCTTGTCTCTCATTGGTCAGTGTTTTTCGTTAATAACTCGTAAACGAAATCGCGGATTGCATTTTCGCTAAGGAAAAAGTTACTTGAAATAACCCAAGGAACTCCCCGTTTCCGGATTACGAGACATTTTTGGGACATCCTGTATAATTGCTCTTTATAAGTACCTTGTCAAAAAAAGACAGTACCTTCAAATGTACTCGAACCTCTACGAGATATGTACTTTGGCGCCGAAAACTGTTACAGAATTCTGATCTTCAAGATTCGAGTACTACTTATAAAAGATTCGAATCTTTTCGAAAACCTTTTCGAAACCTGGAAGTACTCACTTCAGAGTTCGATATTTATTTGTACAGGATGAATACATTTTAAGTATAATCATTGAGACATTATTGTTTTTGAGTAGTAATCGAAACCCATGAAACGAAACTTGGTTATTGAAATTGACTTGGATTCGTCAGTACAGTAAATTCTCCCTAATTGACCCTCAGCTTGGGACCAAAAATGTACAAATTGGGAAGATGAGGAACGATTATATGAGCCTTCTGGCTCGTTTTTATAGTTGTTGACAATCGGTTACTATAAAAACGAGCCGCAAGGCTCGAATAATCGTATCTTCTCCTCTCAAATCGTCCATTTTTGCTTCCAAGCCGAGGCTCAATTAGAGAGAATTTACTGTATACATATATTGAACTCGATCTCATCTCTAGTTATTACGAAGCGTATTAGCTAACTACTAATGCGATCTCGAGTAGATTGCACAACGTGCATGAACCTTTCGGTGAGACCCGCTGGGGCGAGGTACGATCGACAATCGCGCCGCGACGCCTGCGTCCGCTGCGAGAGGCGATAAACGCGTCCCATTCGAGCATTAATGGAATACATGTATCCGGAAATCCGTCGCGGAGGATCGATTCGGGTCAGGCGGCTTGGGAAATCCTTTAAAGCCGAGAGATCCCGGCGCGATCCGTTTGCTCTCCCCTCGAAAATCGTGCAGTTTTCTATTTCCCGGGCCGCGGGACCACCTCGGGAAGACCGCGAGGCCGCGGCGTTTCTTCTCAACCTGTTTGAATGCGCCGCTCCCGTAAATATTTGACCGTGGAGGACTCGTGCACGTGGCTGTCCCGGCAGTTTATCGCTTCCGCGACGTTTCCGTGAGCCTTGCTGCCGTGAAAGGCCTCCCGCGGAACCAATAACCGCTCCTCGAGGCGGGTAGAAGCCGATTCCAAAGCCTCGCGGAGAACAATAAGCCGGACAGCTGACTGCTGTCAAGATCGCGACGTCGAGCGGACGCGGGAATCGTGAAAACCTGCGCGAAATTCAAGTATCCGATATTTGTACACTTTTTGTCTTTTATCTGCGTGGTGTGTCGTTTCTGGTCCCGACTGATCCCTAGTCCCTAAGTAATCATCCATAACTAGACCGCGGATCTTTATGCAAAATATAAATCAATTAAGTTAATTGCAATAAATATATATTAGATGAAAATATCTTTCCTCTTTTCACAGTCGTAACAAGTTGAAATTAATGAAGGAAATTAATATACTTAAATTATTCTAATGTCTTTTTCGTTTCGTATTCGACCTATTCATTTTCGCCATAAATACATGAAATCCGCAATCTAGACGCAACACTTATTAAACATTCTGTCTTGTCCAAATCAAATGCTTTGTACGCTATTTTCTTTGACCTATTTCTCCGCTCTCCATTAAAAATGATCAACAAGAAGAACTATGTCACTCGACAAACCATTTAACGATATTCCCAGACAAAATAGAACGAATTTGGAGAGAGCGTTCATTTTTAAGTAAATGAAAGTTTCTGGCCCGTCCAAAAATCTGCAAGTCCAACGAAACGTGCGGGTTCAGGCGCGGGTCACGGGGCACCCAGACGGACGAAATTCCAATAGCGTAAAAGGAACGTAAATCGTTGTAGAAACACAGAGAGGGAGATTCGAGAATTTGTCGGGATGTTAAAGGAAGCTAACAAAAATTGCGCGGGGGCACTACGCGATCGGATCCGCGCGGCTCGAATCGAATTGATCGGCGAACCGACTCGATTCGACGGCCGTCCGGCGAGCGGACTAACAGCCGCGGCGGCAGTTTAATCCGTCAACGAAATATTCGTCGGCGATCGCCCGAGGACGAAACGCGAGCTGGTCGCGTGCCAGCAAGTAGTAAAGCCCGCCGCGGGTCGGACACGTATGCGAAGAACGAAGAACGAAGAGCCCTCCAATTAATTAAGCGGCGTACACATCGACCGGAGTGCCGCAAAAAGCGGCGTTTCTTACGAATGGGGTGGGCTTAACAAGCGGCGGGCATAACACTCGGCCGATTCTGGAGAGACACAACGGACACGAATCGTCCATTAATTCGCCGCGGTAACTGCGGTATCGCAATCCCGGCGAACTTTCCCGGCCAGACAAAAAGGATCCCGGCCAATATTTACGGAATTGTGTTCCGCCGGCGAGAAAACGTGTCCCGGCGCGCGACGCCGCGGTCGTTCGCGTACTGCGGACCGTTCAGATTTGTCAGAGATTTAAATACAGAAACACACGTAATGTTCGATGGTGTAATCCTTGATCGGACGATTCTAAAGCCAGAATAGAATCGTTGTAGGTCGGTATCGGGTTGGCCAATCCGTTCGTTCGCGATTCTTTTCGCAGAAACTGAGCGCGGCTAATTTTTTAGGTGGCCGTGCCTGCAGATCGTAATCGCTCGGTGTGCACGTCGGACAATGATTGTGTATCTTCTGTGTACCTATCGAGTCTCTTGGTAAATGTTGTATTAGAAAGTATAACAAAATCGATGCACTCAATTTTTCTGGAACTTCGTCGTTTCATTGCGGAACGGCCAGACCTTTACAGGCGGGGCCAGCAATTAAACTTCCCCACGCTCTCGATGCTTTTTCAGAACGGCCTCTGCACAAGCTAGCAGCTCCACTTGTCAGCGTTAGGGTCGCGTTTAGCTGGCGCGCGTTGCTTGTCCCGAATTTTTCGACTGCATTTCATAGAGCCGCGTTATACGGAGCCGGCGCGCGACCTATTTAACGAAAACAAATGAACGAAACGGAATTAGCCGCAGGTGGAATAACGGGAGTTCGGGGAGAGGCAGTCCGGGCTGAATCGAAGCCCGCCGCGGCGTCGAACCGCGTCGAAACCCTCGGCATAAAGGACTCCTAACGAAGCTCTGATTGCGGGCCGGGCGGTTTCGATTGGGCCGTGATAAAAAAGAAGGGAGCGGGAGAGAGAGTGAGAGGAGAAAAGGGAAAATAAAAGCGAGTCGGCGAGCAAAGGTGTCCGGCCGTAGGGCGTCGTCGCTGCAAAAAGCCTGCTAAAAATATAATGTCCGCTCTCCTCGCGCGTCGCGTTGGCGCGAAACCGCGCGGCTCGTTCACGCGGCGTGTATATCGATGTGACCCCAATACGCGGGGCAGCCTCTAGAATAAAAAAGACCGGCGAGATGAAAATAAAGAAAACAGCGCCGGCGAAGCTTTATTGTTCGCGATAAACTGGCAGCATTCGCGGGGACGAGTCTCGATGGCTCTCCAGACGCCAGCGCGTCTGCTCGCCGCGTGCGGAGACGTCTTCCGTGCCGAAGGACGGCTGTCTCGCGACTCGACACGCGCGAGATTGCCGATCGGTCAATCGGTGGTAACGGAACGACCGCTGTGTGCACAAGCGATGCTCTAGCTGATGGCTAAGTACACAAAACCGTGTCTTTATGCTCTCCTCGACTGAGTCCACAGAGACTTAATCGAGGAATATTGCTCGCTTTTAGATCGTCCGCCACGGAATTTACGTTTCCTCTTAACACTTTCATTAACGCGTCAAGCATACGTGGGCGACGGAATTATTTTCCGTTGAGAAAGTAATTGGCGGCGCACAATTTGAGTCTTCAATCTTGATTTGACCGAACAAAATTTTTTAAACGTATGAATCCGTCGATGTTGCCGGCGTGGCAGCCGAAGTGTCAATTATCGTCAGGTGAAACGTACGTGAAACACATAATTCCTGCAATTGCTTGGCTTTTTCAAATGATTACAATTTCGCTCGTCGTCCCGTAATAAAACGAACGCCAAATAAAAATTGTTTACGTGTAAAGTTATTTTTAATTGCACGAAGAGAACGGTAGATTGGCGCAGAGATCTGGGCTCTACTTACGAGGAATTACCCCAAAGAAACACTTTTCCAAAGACTTCGAGTTTCCGTTCAGATAGCATGGAACGCGGCGAGGCTGTCCTCTTGCAAATCGGTTCGCGAAGAATCGTTGCCCGATCGGTTTCGCAACCCGTCGTCGAAACGCGGGGCTGCGTGCCATCTCCGCTGCCCCGGTCTATAAAAAAAAAATGCACCGCAAAGTGGCTATTTATAATCCAGGGTACATAGACGTTCCATTTTCCGAGCTCGTTTAAAAGAAGCGCAGTCCCAAGGATAACGCACGCTCCGCTGCTTAAGGGAAACGCGTCGCATCTAGGGTAGAAAGCTTTAGCGGAGCCTCTCCTCGGCTCGCTGTCGCTAAACCTGGCCTAGTGTGTCAATGGGCGAGGTGTTCCCGATAGCGTGAACCTCGAGGAGATCGACGAACCACAGCGTCCGAACGACACTGGTAAGTGGACCGAGCCGCCGATGATCAGACGTATCTGATTTTCATCGATTCACGCGTGGTTAGCGTCGGTACAGTTTTAGTAAACTCTGGCTGCGACAAGGAGACCGTTCACGGGGTGGAAACACCCTACAAAATAAATCCTGTCGTTTTATTGGGTTGGCAACTAAGTAGTTGCCGATTTCAGTTATAGATGTCTCNGGACCGAGCCGCCGATGATCAGACGTATCTGATTTTCATCGATTCACGCGTGGTTAGCGTCGGTACAGTTTTAGTAAACTCTGGCTGCGACAAGGAGACCGTTCACGGGGTGGAAACACCCTACAAAATAAATCCTGTCGTTTTATTGGGTTGGCAACTAAGTAGTTGCCGATTTCAGTTATAGATGTCTCACTCCCATTTTTATGATATCCGTAAATGTTATATTATAAAATTATTATTATTATTATTATTATTATTATTATTATTATTATTATTATTATTATTATTATTATTATTATTATTATTATTATTATTATTATTATTATTATTATTATTATTATTATTATTATTATTATTATTATTATTATTATTATTATTATTATTATTATTATTATTATTATTATTATTATTATTATTATTATTATTATTATTATTATTATTATTATTATTATTATTATTATTATTATTATTATTATTATTATTATGTTATTTTTTATTATCCGTGAATGTTAGCAACTGGACAAATTGAATGCAGCGGTCAAGGAAAAGCGACCACAATGCTATAGTTAGCTTGCTGACTTTTTTAACACCCAAGAAATATAGTTCAAATGTTATTTCAGTTTTCTAAAATGGCACCAAAGTGGTACCACCGGCATACAACAGATAGTTTTTGCATGGCACCAGCGTGGTGCCACCGGACGGCATAGTGTTAATATTGAAACCAATAAAAGGATTAGCTTCAGTCTCAACGAGGAGGTTTTGATAATATATTGGGTTGGCAACTAAGTAATTGCCGATTTCAGTTATAGATGTCTCTCACTCCCATTTTTATGATATCCGTAAATGTTATATTATAAAATTATTATTATTATTATTATTATGTTATTTTTTATTATCCGTGAATGTTAGCAACTGGACAAATTGAATGCAGCGGTCAAGGAAAAGCGACCACAATGCTATAGTTAGCTTGCTGACTTTTTTAACACCCAAGAAATATAGTTCAAATGTTATTTCAGTTTTCTAAAATGGCACCAAAGTGGTACCACCGGCATACAACAGATAGTTTTTGCATGGCACCAGCGTGGTGCCACCGGACGGCATAGTGTTAATATTGAAACCAATAAAAGGATTAGCTTCAGTCTCAACGAGGAGGTTTTGATAATATATTGGGTTGGCAACTAAGTAATTGCCGATTTCAGTTATAGATGTCTCTCACTCCCATTTTTATGATATCCGTAAATGTTATATTATAATATTATTATTATTATTATTATTATGTTATTTTTTATTATCCGTGAATGTTAGCAACTGGACAAATTGAATGCAGCGGTCAAGGAAAAGCGACCACAATGCTATAGTTAGCTTGCTGACTTTTTTAACACCCAAGAAATATAGTTCAAATGTTATTTCAGTTTTCTAAAATGGCACCAAAGTGGTACCACCGGCATACAACAGATAGTTTTTGCATGGCACCAGCGTGGTGCCACCGGACGGCATAGTGTTAATATTGAAACCAATAAAAGGATTAGCTTCAGTCTCAACGAGGAGGTTTTGATAATATATTGGGTTGGCAACTAAGTAATTGCCGATTTCAGTTATAGATGTCTCTCACTCCCATTTTTATGATATCCGTAAATGTTATATTATAATATTATTATTATTATTATTATTATGTTATTTTTTATTATCCGTGAATGTTAGCAACTGGACAAATTGAATGCAGCGGTCAAGGAAAAGCGACCACAATGCTATAGTTAGCTTGCTGACTTTTTTAACACCCAAGAAATATAGTTCAAATGTTATTTCAGTTTTCTAAAATGGCACCAAAGTGGTACCACCGGCATACAACAGATAGTTTTTGCATGGCACCAGCGTGGTGCCACCGGACGGCATAGTGTTAATATTGAAACCAATAAAAGGATTAGCTTCAGTCTCAACGAGGAGGTTTTGATAATATATTGGGTTGGCAACTAAGTAATTGCCGATTTCAGTTATAGATGTCTCTCACTCCCATTTTTATGATATCCGTAAATGTTATATAATAATATTATTATTATTATTATTATTATGTTATTTTTTATTATCCGTGAATGTTAGCAACTGGACAAATTGAATGCAGCGGTCAAGGAAAAGCGACCACAATGCTATAGTTAGCTTGCTGACTTTTTTAACACCCAAGAAATATAGTTCAAATGTTATTTCAGTTTTCTAAAATGGCACCAAAGTGGTACCACCGGCATACAACAGATAGTTTTTGCATGGCACCAGCGTGGTGCCACCGGACGGCATAGTGTTAATATTGAAACCAATAAAAGGATTAGCTTCAGTCTCAACGAGGAGGTTTTGATAATATATTGGGTTGGCAACTAAGTAATTGCCGATTTCAGTTATAGATGTCTCTCACTCCCATTTTTATGATATCCGTAAATGTTATATAATAATATTATTATTATTATTATTATTATGTTATTTTTTATTATCCGTGAATGTTAGCAACTGGACAAATTGAATGCAGCGGTCGAGGAAAAGCGACCAGAATTGGTCAATCGTAAAGGTGTCATTTTCCACCAGGACAATGCTAGG